GYGGGGMGMMYWTRTRRRAMTTAATRTTAACTTGTATCTATAGTAAATTGTATTTTTTTAATAGTATTTATATGCACTGATCACCGGTTTATACCAGCGTTTTTCTATGTTGATTTCGCTGATCGGTTTTTTTCAGTTTAAATAAAGCATTTATTGTTATTATTATTATTAGAAGTATATAACAAGGCGGCTCAGGATCCTGCCGACGCTTTTGTGTGAATGTGAAAGAAAAAAAGCGAAACAAAGCTGTTCGGCGATAAACGGACATGGAGAGGGAGATATTGGCAAGATGTGGACCGGGACTGGTATAAGGCGAGCCCTTCCCTTCGATCGCCCAAATGTATAAACAGGGGCCTGTCCCTACGCTTTCACCCTCAAAATATTGATTTTGACCCAGGAAAAGATAGCATAACACATCGATACGTAGCTCTAGATCTCACCGGCGTGTCCTACTGCTACCCGTGGGATTGAACGGCGCCCACCCGGGACGTATTACGCTTAACCGGAGATTTACAAACCGACCGGAGATTAACCGGGATTCGTGCACGTTTCGTGCAATGGACTTAACAAGTTTCTCGAGACGCCGAGTCGTGTTAATTAATCCCCTTAGTAAACAATCCGAGAAGCTGAAAGTGCCTTTTCGTGAAAAAAAGGAACAACAACGACAAGAGAAAATACAAAAACGTTCCACTTTTGATTTCGTCATCGCTTTCTTTTAGAACAGTCTTCTAAAGTCAGCTCACGAATGAGCCAAAAGCAACGTGCAAATTAAACAAAGGAGTACATTTTGAACCTATTAAAATGTGACAAATAAAACAAACCACCTTCAATAATCAAAATAAAGAGTCTTTTTCCTCTTGCCTTTTAATACCTACAAGCTGTGATTAGGAAGGTAATACCCTGTCTATTCAATAGGTGATTATACACGGGATTAAGATATTTATCCGTCCAGCCAAGCCAAGCATCTTTTGTTTTAAGATCTATTTTAGGTGAAGGATGGAAGATTAAGTGAAATTATTTGCTACACGAAAGATTTTTGTGTCTTACACTCGCTAATATCATAATAATTATGTAGACAGATTAACCTCTTGGCTGTAAGAAAATATTTCCAGTGAGGATTAAATTGATTTTTTGTACCTGTTGTTTCGCTCTCTTTCGTTTCGCTGACTTTTCATCGATCACTGAGGAAACATTTGTTAGAAATTTTAGCCCTGCTGTTCCTATTTTAAAAAGCTCGGTTACCAACAGAAAGGGACGTAGCCTTAAAAGTCCAGTCTCATACCAAATAACCGTGCTGAAGTGATATCAGAGAAGATAAGTATCGGATTTACGGCGAGCGGTAAAAGGCAAAAGGTGACTGACTTCTTATCGTCTGCTATCCGCTGAAAATCTAAACTATTTTGTTCTGGCTCTGGACCAATTGCGATGAGGTTGTTTGACTCTTTAACTGCCAGAAGTGACCAGCTTCTGACTTCCCCTTACAATATCTACACTGAATCAAACATTGAGGTAATGAGATTAAAGGAAATGATCACCAATTGAATTTAAGAAGTCCTGATTGTCAAACAAATTCTCCGTTCTGAGAGATCAGTGTGGACAATATGAATTGTCCACACTGAATTGAATTGAACGGTGCAAAGGGTTGAAGATAAGAAATGGCGAGAAGCGGAATTAGGAGGATGCTCAGCCGTTCCCTCCCGAGATCTCATTAGTATTTCTCCTTACTGCCTGCCATACAGTTCATATGATGTGAGTTTCGAGAATTTCGTACCGGATCAACTTATGATTTTCCTTTATTCTCATCACCTGTCTGGTTGATATTGTATTGAAATGCTGACTTGGTCATTTATGGAAGTAATAGCGTTAAGTCAGTGCTTTGATGAAATATTCGTTGCTTATCAACGACTCGTCGAAACAGGTAAATTGGATTTAGATTTGCCTTTCATCTCCGTTGACTGGTTTTTGCTTAAAATTGACAGCCAAAACTTCGACTTTGCTAGCGCTTTCTTCTTGTTTTGTATTTTTTTTTTGTCTGAAAGCCGACGGAAACGAGAGAACGGAAAATTCAACGGATTAAAAAGGGAGCAATATTATCTAAAAAAAGTGAAATCGTTCTTAGGATTCATATAAGGTAAATCAATATCTCATTTTTCTTGCAGAGAAAAGAGGAAAAACACTTTTTGAGGCTTTTAGTATTCCTTCAATCTCCCGTGTAAGTACTTGTCGACAATGTGTTAAACTCATTTTATCTCAAAAAATTATTTTCGGTGCTTTAAAGTTTTCTCGTCAGTTCACTGATTTCTATAAATAAGATTGTAGATTAACTGAAACAATAAAATTCTCTCCTCTTTACACACGGAAAGAACGTATACTGCCAAGAAAAAATAACCAGAGAAGAAGAATCAATTCCCTTTTTCTTCTTTTGATATTACACAACGTCAAGATCTAAGGAGGCCTTGTCTGACTCTCGCCTAAACTTTGAAACATTGCAGTCGTAATTCTTCATGCACTGTTGTGTCAAACGCAAAGGACATAGTCCCTGGCATAAGCTTTGACGGGAAGCAGATAATTATTCAGTTGTGACGCTACCCTCTGACACAAGTGCAGCCTACAAAATGAACTGCGTCATTCAGCACGGTAGCGGAATATGCGTGAACCGGCTTTCTATTGTCTTTTGCCGTTAAGAAAATAACAAACGTTCCTAGAGCTTAGATATATATCATAATAAGACTTTTTTTTTTGCTTTATCAGAATTCATAATTTGCAGCATTTGCAAGGAAACTCAGACATACTGTTGCGGTTTATCTTTACTTTCGAATTTAAATTGGATTTTAACGTATTTAAATTTGCTTCCAATCGTCCTTCGCCCGAAACAAATTAAAAATTAAACGGAGCACAGTTAATTGTATTCGGAAATTCGCGGTCGCTTATACTGATTCGAGGATTCTTGCGGTTGCTTGAATAAGTTAAAAGCTTTAACAAGGAACGTTACGAAAGCTGTTAACAGCTTTAAAGGAAGTAAAATTCCTTGATATTGCCTTTTGTGACGTCCAGAAAATAATATGAAAGAGAATATTTGATGAATTCTTTGTAAATAAATATATATTCTTTAATTAATCTTTACTTCATCTGTTTGAGGCCAAGAATGATTTAGAGCTTTTGGTGTATGAATGGAAAGTTTTTATATTTCATATCAGCATGGCATATTTGTTCTCTGTTCTGACGCATGTGTGATGTTTTTCGAAGCACCCACTTCCATAGTTGACAAAACGATCAAAGACTTGTCACTCTTCCTCTCCAGATGAAAATTATAAATTAACAAGTCGGTTCTAAATGGATAAAGACCCAGTTTTATTTATCGAGTTGCGAGTGTTGTGAATTGCGTCTTGACACTGCAATAAACAAGAATCTCAGGAAATGACCACCACGACTACGGCCATTGAAAGGGAAGCAAATCTTCGAGCTCAAAAGAAAAAGATTCTACAGCGGTTAAAATACTCATCTGCCACAACTAAAATTACAGACGATAGTGTGATATCAGCCGGTACAGATACACCTTGTTTGTTTGAACAAGAGACGCGACTGAATCCAAGAAGTCACCACCATATTGGAAATGGAGAGAATATCAAAGTCGCGTGCCGGGAGAAGGCGAATGAGAGGTTCACAAGCCAATCACCTACCGTTTACAAGACATGTAGGGAAGTTGATAGGTCCAAGCCGAGTAAAATCCCTAGATATGTCCAGGGAAATAAAAGTGTTTTTCCATCGAGGACACGACGGCAATTTTCCGAAGAAGGAGCCGAAGTTTCTGACAAGGATGGAACACAAAACGAAAGGATAAAAGTCTCGATTGTTGTCGATACTGCAGAACCTGAACAATTCACCTCCTCTTCGTCGTCGACACCTTCGGAATATCATCGGAAAAAGACAGAAATAAGGAAAAAAGCACACGAAAGGCGAAGAAATGTCGTTTCACCAAGCTCGAGTGTCTTCGACATATTTTCGAGTAACAACGGTTATTTAACCGCGTATGACATTCAACCTCGACGTTGTACCAGTCTCACTGAGTTGGATTACACGCACGACAAGAACGTTATAAGCAAAAGAACCGGTACAAGTATCATGAACAGAAATGACAACTTTAGAAGCAAGTCTTGGAATTTTGAAGAGCCTTTTGCTATGCCAAGCAATTCGAGTTGGTCATTACTTTATGAATCAACTCCCACAAGAGAAACAGAAGAAATTAACTTTCAGTGGTTTGCCCGACAACAACAAGAGAGATTGGAAGATAATTTACGACGAGTGGAACAAAACCTGGACGCAACTTTTGATAAATTACGAAAATACGTCAAGCCTGAAACTGTCTTGGGAAAAGCAGAGAGTTCAGAAACGATTTGATTAAAACACGCTTTTTAATTCGCTTGCTAAATGATGGATTAATGGATATAGCTGTTAGCATTGAAATTCGTAGCAAAATGGAATGAGCTGAGGGCACCCTATAATGTTTTATAATTTGTCAGAAACCTGTAAAAACAGAGCCAATTTCTTCTTTTTTGTTTTTTTTGCTGAGTTAACCTGTTTCTGACATGGAAAAATATCGGAGTTTGCTTATCGAAACAATGTCATGTCTCTACCTGCCTCCTTGTCTTCGCAAACAAAAGGCAAACAGGAGTGTTTGCCACTGGGCCACGAAGGCGAATATTTCGATGCAGACTGCGATTAAAAATGAATGATAATTTGATTTGCTAATTCTTGGGTTTGGAATTTTAAGATACGCGAGAGTTACGCATGCTTTCAGCCCCAAACCACAAGAAGCAATACTCATCCTCAGTTAGCCTGCTCTAAGAATTTTGAATTTTGCGGTTCTTTTGCGCTGTAGAAGGAAATAAGATGATCTGGTTTCCTCTCCGTACTTTGGAGGCTTTCACTAAAAAATCATCAGCTACTTGAGGCGGATTTTGAAATTGTAAACATGCAGTTTAACTTACCGGTCGCGCAATGACTTAAGGATTTTACCGCTTTGTTTAAATGATATGGGGCTTGATCCCAGCTTAAGAAAATGCCTGCCAACTATTTTCTTAAACAGCGCAAAATAACTAAAAAAAGATTCTCATTTTTCCAAACTATGAACTGGTGCCACATTGTTGTTTGATGCTAATTCAGCAAATAGATCTGTAGGGTGCTTTTGTCCAAGATGTTAGCGGATGAAATTTAAAATGCTTTGAGAAATCCGAACAAAACCATCAATTGTTTTCAGCCCTGCAGCTAATCATAGCCAATCTTTATCTTCTAATACTCAGAAACTACAATGATAGACAATTAGGTATTAAAATGTTAAACCTCGTTACTTCCGGTAGATCGTTATTGCCTGGCGATATATCTCTTCCGGTGAGCGAAGTCAGGGAAATAATTATCATTGGCATGCAATTTATCCCAAACTACGAGCAGTCCTTCCCTTTCAGCGAAGTCCATCGCACCAGTTTAAATAAAAAAATAAAAAAATAAAAAAAAAAAAACGGCGCGGAGCACTGGGAGTGAGGCATGCTCTTACTCTTACGGCGCGACGCCGCTAACATCAATTTTTTTTCACTCGTGCAACGGACTTCGCCGAAAAGAAGGGACTCGTGTTCTGATTTTATACAAGTGTATTTATCTGGCTCCGGTTGTTCAAAGGGCGGATAACGCTATCCAACGGATAAATCGCTATCCAGCGGATAAGTGTTACCAAAACGTACTGGCGGCTATCCACCGGATAGAGATTTATCCAGTGTATAGCGTTATCCATCCTTCGAACAACCGGGGCCTGGTCGAGATGAAGCAAAATACCATTGTTTCTATGCATGTAGCGTTTTAAGCTGATAGGACCGTAGCTTGATGGAACTCGTGTGTTTTGTTCAGCGTTCTAAAGGTACCCGCTCTGCGGTTTTCGTGCCCATGTCAGAAAAAAGAATTAGTTCATACCTTTAGCTATGTGTATATCGCGGTATGGCTGCACCTGGAAAGTTTGAAGTGCACTCAAGAAGCTGATTTTACTCTCGAGTGCACCTCGAACAACTCGTATGCTTCTTCCGTGTCTTTCAAACTCCCGGCATGCATCCTTACACATGTCAAACCTATTTTTCCTACTCCTCGTCTCCAGGTCTTTCCATTACCAGAATCAAAAGTGATGGGGTTACAACCTGGGGAGTACTCATTTGAACGGTTTCCGAGTCGGCCGATTTTTAGAAATCATCATGAACTCTAAACAAACAGTGGAGAAATAAAAGTAACCAAGTCAGTAAATAGTTCAAGCTGAGTTTCTGAGTGAAATTTGTTGCAGTTCTTGACTTCTTAGGTCGGATAATGAGATACCTCTGTCGCCCAGGCTCTTTGTATGATTCTAAAACTATCTCTGCTTTACCGAATTTAAGTAGATAATTGACCAACTATACTACAAGGTAACCCTCTGTCTGAGTTGGGCTGTCGTGAACTGTGGGGAATTTGAAAATACTCGTCATTTAAGCCGCAGAGGTCGGCGTTCAAAGGGAAAGAAGTGGAAAAGCTAAATCGAGGGCGAAAGATGAATGTTACGATCCAGTTTCGAGCTTTCACTAATTCTTCCCGTTTCCTTTCCTCCCTTTCATGTCAGTCACGGCGGCTGAACTTCCCTCTTTTCTAAGAAAAATCGACTAATCGTTTCTCTCCCTTGATCTAACTTCTATGACATTCCTTTTGGATCACGGACTCGCTTACTCCCTCCTGGTCTCGATTTTGGTCTTTTTGTTTCCCCCTAAGCCATCAGGTACCCGGCTTTCATCATAACTACGGCCATTTATTTGAATGTCGACAATTTTCCTCCATTTGCTGTGGGAGTTAGTGGGTGTATTGTGTGAAACGACATTTTCCGTGCGTGCGTCTGATTAAAAAAAATTGTCGAAAAAGATCAAGAACAGAAAAAATACACTCCTTTAACTTTTCGAAGCAATTTAGTGAAAATATTTTCACGTTGAGCTGTGTAGAGAATAGATGTTTATATTTTCATACTCTGGCTGTAACGGGTCTAGCGTGAGGTGTAAAGTGACGTATTTCATAATAGCTGTGGGCGTAAGTATCTTTTGAGGAATATATTACTTTGAATGTCTGGGGTAAATATGTATAATTCAGTTTTGGCAACTCTATTCGTAAATGGAAGAACATTAGCATAATCATAACTTGACAAATAAGGTGGCAATTGAAGCCAATTGTTGAGAAAAAGCTAAGCCAGTAGATTCCGTGCGGTTTTTTTCTTTTTTTCTTTTTAATTTTTCTTTGTTTTCTCCTCACGCAGAGCAAATTTAGTGTACATGTAAACATCCTATCAGCTGAATGGACTTTTATGAGACGCTCTGTTAAAATAGCAATAGGACGTTTCTGTATGCTTTCTCTACTCATCTGACGTGGTCAGGGAACGCAATTCAAAACATCGCGATTTTCAAACCTGTAAACAATCACATGACTTGTATTCAAATTTCTATTCGAAACTACGAATTTTGCCGGTGAGGAGTTAAATACACATTTCGTGTTTTAAATTAAGTAAAGAATATGTTGTCTTACGTATTAATTCTCCTTGAAAGGTCTCCTGCCACGAATTCATCAGCCAATGAAGTCGCCTAGGGCTAAAATCATAGAAGCTAAATTTAGGAATTGACTTACTAATTCATGAGTAAGGGTCTTTAGTTTGCAAGGAAACCGATATGTTTATCTAACGCGGCGAAGCCCGACGTTTTTAAATGGTATTTGTACTTGGCCTGAACAAAAGATGAAAACCAACCAGCTTTTTACCTTCAAACTGGCTGCTGAATCAAAAAACCAACGATCAATCTGGAGGGTTTATCTGATCTAGATATGGATTACCAGCGGTTACCTGAGAACAAACAAAATTCATCGCCAGTTTACAATCTCCAGTATAGAAACGAACATCTGTCATCCGCTGCGTCGACTGTGGAAAGTTCGAAGTTAACTCGAAACACAGATAGTTCGTTTTTTCCTAACTTAAAGCGACGGTACATACCTTCTTTGTACCACAATGAAGACAAAGAACTGACGCAAAAAGTGAAGGAATTCCTCAAAAAGCCACCTCTAAACTCACAAGAGTATTTCGACATGTTATGGCTACGGAGACGAAGTGAACCATTTAGAAACAGCGGCGAGGCTGGCACACGTATCGTTAACAGTGCGCGAAGCTCACCCGATGAACTGACAAAAAAACTTTGGCATTTGTTACCCGAGAAACAAACCATACAATCTATGATTCTTCCACCAATACGAGATGGCTGCGTTCCTAATTTTCATCGCAAGCACTCGTCCAAGAAAGTCCCTTTAGTTGATCCCTCTGTGAACCTTATGGACCAGCTTAAATATTGCCGATATCTCAGAGCCAAACCCGCAAGATTCCAAACATGGGAAAGTAGGAACTAAGATATTAATACGTGACCGTATCGGAGTCTATAATCTTTAAGTTCCGCATTCGCAAAAGTTAGACCGAGTCTTTCTTCGTTAGATTAAAGAGTATTTAGGATATTTTAAGACAAAGAGAAAAACTGAAAGGTTTTTTCTAAAACCATAACCTCAGACTTTATTTCTTTGTCTCACATCTCAAAAAGTGTGAGAATCAAAATCAGACAGTTTGTTTTTTAGCATATCGGGTGTATTACAATCTAATGAAACGGTTTAATTTTAGCACGAACAGCAGACCAATATTTTCACATGTCTTCCCTGGGGGCGAGATATCTGGTACCCGAAACAGTTATAAATTACAGGTGTTCCGAGTTTAAACTAGCCGTTTGACCCTTCTGAGTAGTCCTTAAGTCGGTGTTAATTTCAAAATTACTCCTGGCAAAGGATTATAAATAATTTGTCGCCACAAATCTTTCTACGATGTGGAAATTATGTAGACCTCAGGTCTTTCAGAACTGTAGCAGAGGGAAACCAGGAACATTTCAATTAACGGATCTCTCAGAATTAAAAGATCAATGTTCCTATCAGCACACAGACACCCTTTTCCCTGCCAGTGACACACGACTTCTGTAGATCCATAGCCATTGTTTTGTTTTTCTGAGATAAACTAGGTTTTTAAACATTGTTACTGTTCCAAAGAATCTCGACTATCGAGCGTCAATTACCTGATTGATGACGCATTGTCCACCGAAAAAAAATGCCCTGAATAGTTTTAAAATATGTAAAACATCTAATTAAAATATACCGTTAAAAAAGAAAGAGTCAAGTTTGGACATAAAGATGTCTACAGATACACAGAGCTTGTATTTGATGTGTTGAGCGGCCACTTTGAATGCAGGAGATAGAAACTAAGATAACGAAGACGATTTTCGGAGAAGTAAAGGTTGCTTCACTTCACATTTAAAAGAAATATTCAACCGATATGAAATCTTGCGACGGCGAAAAAAGAACTCAAGTGGAGGATAATCTACCTGAAGTGGAAGAAGACTTTGAAACTTCTAAGGAAAATAATATGATATAGCCAGAAGATGAGCTCGGGAGGCTGTCTTTGACGGCTGTTTAAAGATTTTCTTAGCAGTAAACGTCTGTAAACATCAGATCGTAGGTGCTCGCGCGAGCACACGCAATTGTCAGCGGTGGCTAAAACAGATCATGAGCAAATGTCGATCTTATAGAATCCAGATTTTTAAATGCGCGAGAACGCGCGTGGGAAATTGCTAAACTCACGAAAGCTATTGCATGAAAACAAGTCCGGTGACCCCTTCTTGTCATTGTTCCAATATGATAATAACTTCGAAAGGAATCATCAGAAAAAAAAACTAGAAAATTCTACGGAAGGAAATTTGCGATGTGTGAAAATTGACCTTTTTGTAGAGTTTCTGAAATTCCGCTCCGTAGAATTTTTTAAAAATCTTTGTGGATTTTCCTTTTCAAGTCCCAAAAGCAATCACTGAAAAAATTCAGGGGGTCACCGGGTTAGTTTTCGAATTATTTAAGCCACAAGCTAAAAAATGCGTCTGAATAAGCCTATGAAAGCGTTGCCATGGAAACTGCTAGTGACGAAATGACACTTATTTTTGGATAACCAATGATTATGTAATTCAACCTCGTAAAAGTGTTCAACTGGCCTTGGTCAGTCTTTCTGTTGTATTCTTTCAAAGTTACAAACCATGAAAAAGATGAAAACCGGTACGAGCCACCTCAAGTGATTGTGGTAGAGAATGATTTTCTCCCATAAGGCTTCAGACTCCTCTTCATCGTTTGAAGTAGTCTTCCTGCAGATCGAGGTTACAAGGCAGTGTCGTGATTAACGTTGGAAAATGTATGAAGAAGACAGTTCACCGCTTCAACGAATATTCACATCGCGATTACGAAGTATAACTAGAACCACTCCTAGAGCCAAAAAGTTAACATCGTAAATATCCTTTTAACACGAGTACAAGGAATCGAAAAAGGTAGCGTAAAAACTTGATCACACACCCAACAAGTCTGTATGAAACTCATGAGCACCTTTTTTTTCTTAATAATTTAATATAATTTTTACTCGTATCAACTGTCTAAAATATGAAAATATATATTATATTCTTGATACCAATGGCGGAATTATCTTTTATGTATTACACATTACATTCGTTTGGTTCAACGACTCATTCATTTTGCTGCAAAATATGACTCTACCTTAAAATGGTACTTTCCTGGAGAGGAAACTTATGCGCAGCATTTGTGAGAAAAATATTTGATCTAGAGGTACTCCACTGTATTACTGAGTTAATCCAGCTAAGAACCCACGAAGTAACTGCGTATAGCAATATACTGGTTCTCTATGCTATTATGGAAAAGGCCAACTAAATACAGTTAAACCCAACTGGTAGCTGGTTTACCGATTTTCCCACGAATCATAGAAAAAATATAAGTTACATATCCACCTTTAGGCTAATAAGAGAACGTTGTTTCAGTTTTAGCTACTGCTAATCGAGTACTTCATTTCCACGTTGGGTGAAAATTTCAAAGGACGTTCAACAAAAGACATCCTATGACATTTTCTCTCCTTTTTTTGACTTCTCTGTCAGAAATCCCTCGAAAACCAATCGCATTCTTCAACTTCGCCACTGAAACGTGCTGCCAAAATAAGTTGAGGAATGGGTTTGGTTTTCGAGGGGCCCAAGTTACGCAAGCTGGGAATCCAAGACGCCATATTTTCCATATTTTTTAGGGCCAGGCGTTATGTTCCTGACGCTGGTCTTCTTAGAGTAAGAACAATCAGGGGGCCGCTTAAACGCGACTCCAAACTCCGGTGGGAGAGGGGGTGGTGGGGGCGGAGGTGCGATTCTCTGTGAAGGTGTCTCCTCTGGAACCGAGTCTAAACTCCTAGCTCTTGATAACACAGGAGGCCTTAGTCTTTGAGTTTCACCCACGAGGCTGTCTCCCGATCTTGTAGAGAGGACAGGATCACTATGTACAGTCGATGGCTTCTTCAATTTCCATGGATTGTGGAAACCACCAAAGAGTCCGCGAGCACTCAAGAAGAGTAGGCCTGCAGTTCGACTGAGAAAACTTCCAGGACTGGGTGTGTCAGCACAAGAAGGACTGTCAGGGGGAGGCTCGGGACTGGATCCTTTGCGTTTGCGGTTACGTTTCTTCTTACCGTCATTAGAATTGAACGGTTCTGTCTATAACAACAACAACATTTTCCCTTATTTCAAAAGTTTAAATCTAAATACAGATTACATAAACTACTTGACTTCGCGTTTGATTATTTTATCTAGCTTTGAAAATTATGTGCACCTGACTAACACAAAGACTACAAATATAAGTATGGTAAAAGAGAAGAAACAACAAAAAGAAAAAAAATAAACGACAAAAAACTTAAAATGAACAAGAATGATTAATGATCAAGAAGATAAAAGCGGACGGAAATAATCAAGGTTAAAAATTGCTAAAAATATTTTTCAAGATACACTGTGATGTAGCACAACTGATAGGCTAATGTGCATTTTGTGGCAAACTTTGGAATTTCTCCCCAGGGCCACTGACTGTACGAGTTTTATCTGACCTTGTTTAGTTTGCTCTCATGGCCATCTGCAATATTACTCGAGCCGACAGACTCCGGTTCTGGCGGCTTTCCAAAACTACGAAGGAGCTGCTCTCTTCCACTGAGAGAGGCTGAAAAAAAAAAAAAAAAAAAAAGAAAAAAAAAAAAGTTAACCACACATTTCAATGAACTAAGTGCGTCGGTGGGGAGTATATCAAGATAATTTGATATTATCAACCGAGTTGATAATGTAAATTGGCCACCGTAAAGAGTTTCTAAGCTGATGTTTCGAGCGTTACCCTTTCGTTATTCGTGAACACTGACTAATGCGGTCTCGACTTCTTCCTCCTTCTTCGCTGTGACGAAGGGCTGACGCCCGAAAAATCAGCTCAGAAACCCTTTACGGTAGCAATTTCCATAATCAACTCAGTTGCTAAAACCAAATTATCCTATTTCAATGAAATGATGCTTTGGGTGCAATAACATAAAAAAAAAAATTGTTTCGTCAACATTCTACTCTTTCCTATCATCCTGTCTACGTATGGAAGCAAATAGAAGTTACGGACACGTAAATGAATTTCACTGAGCAATTCCAATATACAAAGAAATTCCAATCTATTCAGTAGTGGCACAGTACATCATGCTGTCTCAAAGTTAACCATTGCTTTTCCAAAGGTTTTGTTTAGATAGAGCCCCTTCCCCCACATTAAAAAAAAAACAAAAAAAAACACAATTTCATCTAAATTACATTTACACGAGTCCATTGTTGGCTCTTACACTGTACTTGATCATAATATTGTTTTCCGAGGCTCTCCAGTTCCCCTCCCCTCCCCTTCTTTTATACAAAAGAAAAAAAAAGATCTAAATTCTGATCCGTCAGTTGATGTGGGACCACCAGTGGATGTACATGCACCAGCTAAATTCTATCGCCTTTTCCAGTACTTTTATCTACGCTACTTCAGAGGGTGGATGGAACCTTAAATTAATTATTGTTTTAAAGGTCAAATTATCAGATTGGATTTGTTGCAAAATAAATATTGCTTCAGCTTACGAGCCTATACGGTCAATTGTGTATTCTTCAGTATCAAATCTGGCCATCTAACTTGCCTGTCTTGTGGATTATACTAGTCTTGTTATGGTCATCTTCAATTGCCAACCTTGAGGGGCCCTTGCCGTTCAAGAAGTGTTCAGACTCCCTAAGGGCCTCAGGAATGTTGTTGTTGTTGTTATTGTTGTTTCTCTTGGTAAACACAAAAAACAAGAGCAAGATCAAGGCAATCTCTATAAACAGACCAATCACATGCCTCTCCATAACTTCCTTGTTTAAAGGATCCATGCGAGCCTTCATTTCCACCATCATACTGGTCAGATTATCCACCTCAGACTGCAGTTTAGCAATTTGTTCCTTTTGGTTATTAATCTGCAAGTAAATTCACTTCATTTGAAAAGGGATGCATGCACGAAATAAGTGTAACATATTACACAGACATAATGGACTGTTGGTTAATGCACAACTGTTAAAGTTGCCCAAAAAATTCCACATTCAACTGAAAACACGATTGGAAATTTTCACCAGTATACACTTGAAGTAATGCACTGATTTAGGCTCCTCTCAAGTCCAGTAGCAGACATCAGGCCCCTAACTATAGTTTACCAAGCATGCAGCCACTACAATTATTTTGACATCAGATTTGAGGATGGGAAAAGTAGTCCATCACAGATTAACCCCAACAATTTTTCACATTTCCTGGACGTTATCCAGTATCCATTTGTTACTGGGCAGAGAGTACACTGAGAAAGGAACGTACATGTATCTTGCCCTAAACTTTGAAGTGCACTAACCAACAGGCCACACCATTTACCTAACTTCAACAATCAACTAACAATCCTTATATGTATACATACCACATTTTCTGCTTTCTTTGTGGCATTTGTTAATAAGGCAACTTTCTTGTCTGAGTTCTTTTGAAGGTCATCCAGGGATTTCCGGTACCTGTGTTCAAGAACAAAGGCTCGTGAATAAAACATAGTAAATATAAAAAAATTAAATAAAATGTTAACTTCCAAGGTTTAAATACCAACAGTTTAATATACACCACATACAGTGTACTTATGTCTACGTCAACCCATTCCTTGCAACCAACCCACCTCATATTAAATTTAGTAAACCACACTCTCTCAGTATAATCTTGATAATCATGCAAGTAATTTGAGTTAAAAAGTTAGTGTTTGCTACAAATTTCTTCATAAAACATTGCAGATCAAAAACCAAACTCACCTTCCAAACAAACAAATTGCAGGGTCCAATGAGAATGGGTTCCTCACATCATGTACAGGGGAATGGGGGGAGGGGAGGGTAGAGTTCACAAGTTTGTCCACAACTTGCAATCTCTCAACCTCATTCTCAAAAAGTTTGTGCACTAAGAAAAGTTCAAGGGAGTATCCAGAACCCTACAATGCACCCATAACTTTACAACACCTCCAGATTTCACTACCTCTAATCCAAGACTTGATGGCAAAACAAAAACTAACCAAAACTAAACAACAAATTACACTCCTTGCAATAAGCCCCACCTCTGGTTTAGCTGTTCCATGTACAGTGTGCTCATGTTCAGGTTCTGTTCTAAAGCCTTGATCTTGTTGCTGAGACGGACAAAAATTGACTCCTTATGTACCCCAGAACCAACCACTGAGGCCACACCAGCTGACGAGCCTGATACTTGCTGTTGTGCTCTACTAAGCATGGTGGCATCCAGACTGGTGTCCGATGATGCTACAGAGATAGACTCCTGGTTGCTTGAACTTGCTACAGGGGGAGCTGGCAATGGAAGGACTGCCTCAAACTGGTCATTAGGGTCACTTGTAGAACCAACACAAGGCTGAGCTGTTGGATTAACACTTTGGGACTCCCCCACAGCAGTTGATGTAGTACTTTCACCAGTACCAGCACTACCCTGGCTTTCCATGTTAGGAAGAATCCCTTTATCTCCCAAGCCTTCAGATTCAACAATCTTGTTTGAAAAATCAGTTACCTGCCCTTCATTTTCCTTGGAATCACTCTTTTCATTTGATGAAGGGTAGTCTTTCTCAACCTGAGTTTCTTCACGCAGTTGAGCAGTTCCTTCTCGTCCTTCTTTATCAGTGAGTTTTGTCTCCAGGACATCAATATCTGGAGACGAAAATGGTACAGTGTGTAGTGAGTTTGGAGATTTGCATTCCGTTGGAGTTGCATGGACCTCATTGTCCTTATATCCTCCTAATTCATCTGGCATATCAGGCTCCCTCTTCTCTTCAGCTTTAGGAAAAGAGTTCATATCTGACTGAACAGACTCTGGAACTTCTTTGAACCCATCCTTTTGTACTGATGAAGCACCTTCACGGTCCAGTGTAGATGACAGGCTAGTGGATAACAAACTTCCATGTGTGGTCTGTTCCTTAACATTTTGCATCTTTTTGGCATCAGCTGGTTCTTGAATATAGTTTGCTTCAGGTTCTTTAACTACAGATAACTCTGAACTTTGATATGTCGGAGAGGAGGAAGATGATGACAGAGCAGAATTCAAAGGTGCTTCTGAAACGACTGAAACTTTTACTAATGAAGGTGTGTTGATGTCGGGTATGTCACTTTTCATAGCCAAAGAGCTTCCTGAGTGACTGGGTTTTACAATTTCACTGGAGACAATATTATCTGCAATGTTTAATGGCATAAAAACAGGAACTCCACTTTTACCATCCCAATTGGTGGAGGATGAGCTGGGAATATTGACAGAAGACTGCGGATTTTCTTCTTTAGATCGGACATTATGCTGCATTATACTTTCACTCACAGATTTCTTTTCCTTGATGTTGTCCTGTACCACATGTTTTTCCCTTTCTCCTTGTTCATATCGTTGTTGGCTTCCAGAAAATTCATCTTCTTTCTTGTCAAATTTTAACTTCTGAACAGGACTTAAAACAGTTCTTCTATCCTTCACAGCAGTTCTTAGAAATGTGGAATCCTTGTAACTGTTCTTGGAGAACATCAATCGTCCCATGAAACATCCTAAACAATATTGGCCAATTACCTGAGCAAATGACTGACAACGAGTTAAAACTGGACATGTTGTTTTGGATTCAGAACCACTTTCCATATCCTCACACAGTGAGGTCTTTGGACTGCTACTGTTTACAGTCATGGGTTTTCGTTCTTGTGTGTGAGACATCCCCTTGTCTATGGGAAGTTTTTTATTCCCAATATCACTATCATTGTTTGTCTTGTTTTCCACTGGGTTTTCTTCAAGTTCTTCTTGACCAACAAGAGTAACAATTTTATGTTTATGTTTGGATTCAATCTCACTGGAAGCTGTTCCACCATTGGTAACAGATTTTATGGAATCATCATGTTGCTCTCCTTTCTCACTACCATTTCTATTTCCCTCCTCCTTTCCTGCAATTTTCTTGACAATGTTCATCACAGTATCAGCAGCACGCTCAAGGAAGTTTGGCTTCTTAAGTTCATCTTCAGCCTTTGCCCCTGGTTCAGATGGCAAGAGTGGAATATCTTGCTCGCTGTCCGAGTTATCACTGTCATCTTGTCCATCTGTTTCATGATCTTCAAGCTCTTCCATCATACTACTTCCATGCACCCGCAGAAGACTAAGGGGACAGTAATGCTCTGAACCAAAGTGACTCAACATCTCAACCTGCACAGGTGAAAAAATCATTACAATTTGAATTGTGTGACTGTTGGACTCCCAGTAATTAATTTCTTCAATCTCTGAGTCTGATACAAGTCACATGCCACCACTTAATACTTCAACGTAAATGGTAGGTTGAAACAATCTTTTAAGAAGGCAATATATCCACTAATGTGATCATTTGTTGTACTACTATGTTGGACTATTACGTTGACACCCATTCACTAATATTGAAATTCAATACTACTGATTATCAAAATTTATAACTGTAGTACTTCGCTCAAATTCTCTCCTCTCTACTTTCCAGTCTGCTCTGCCTATATTTGATTATTATGTCTTGTTTTAACTCACTAGTAATTTTTTTGTATTTAATTTGTATGACAACTGTACGTATCTTTCAGCTTATTATGTGGTAAACTAATGCATGGCTTATAACCCTAATAATATTATAGTAATGAAATCTCTTTAGTTTATTGTAAAATATCTTTAGTTTATTGTGGTAATGAAATTTGAATGTGTAGTATTTACTTATTTATTACTAATACCTGCCAAGACTAGCTAATGCTATATGTGGGTTGTGTAAATTTGCTTCCAATGTTCTATAAAATAATAAACAAACAAACACACAAACAAACAAACAACCACACAAACAAACACACACACACAAACAAACAAACTAGAGTCATAAAACAGGTATTGAGTGGAATTTACATGTAGCTTGCAAATGGATTCCAAATAGCTCAGACTTCAATTTGAGGCCTTGACACTGTCACTGTCAGGAGTGACAGAAAAGTGATTTAGGAATTTCTGCGCTAAATATCAATACATCCTCAAAATGGTGCTATAAAGAAAGGGAGGGATATATTCTGATTTGAAATTCTCAATGAAAGCGTAACCTGCAATGAATGTACAGAAAACAGTATGGAGAATTCCCATTTCTATTTATAACATAACCAAAGTAAAGCCCGTGCTCTGATTGCTTTAAAGTTCCCACTTCGGCCAAGCCCAATAAAGTTGACCACATAAGGGAAGATTGGTGATGAGTGATGTCACTCCAGGAGCATCTCGTTGTTACTTTGCTTGACAAACGCAGTACTTTTACAACACATCTATTGGGCATATTTATGTTACCAAAAACTATTTACCTTACTGAAAAAAAAAAAAAACAGTGAAATGAACCACTGGTGGGATTTGGCACATTCCTGATTTGACATCACAACCCAGTCTGAACCCAATTTCTTTTTTGCCCTGACTCATGGTCACCTCCAATGGGCGTGGCCAAAGCGGGAAGTTTAAAGCTCGATATCAGGGCGAAGACTCGTCAGAATCCAATTTTTATTTAAGAATACTTTTTTACATATTAAATACATACCAAAACTATAAAAACCCTGTTGGCCATATAGACACTTTAAGGATCAATGGAGCCCCCTCTAGCGTTCTTGGTCAGTTGTTTTGGTTGATATTTCAAATGTTCCAGAGTTTCCATTAACATGTACATTACATAAGCAACATCCCTCAACTTATAAACATTTATGATCACATGCACAACCTCACGCACAATGTACACACTTTACCTTAAGGTACTTGGCATAAATTGGTTCATCTAAAGGAAAGGTTTGTACTGTTCTTTCTTCCCGAGCTTCAAAGGTTCCAAGCATTGTCCATTCTCTTGTTGGATACCTTGTGCTAACGTAAACGCTAAAGCTTTCTGGTGTTGAAGAGAACACCTCAAAGTTGGCAATCTGAATGCTCTTAACTTGAGCTACATCACAAAGCTCAACAATAAACCACACTTTAGCACTGCATGGATTTAACATATACAAGTCTTTGTTCTCCATTAAAATACTATCAGCATTTGAAGCCTCCTCATTGTGGTCCAGAATCTTAGCACCACAATCCACAGATGCATAGTTACTCTGTTTTCTCTCCTTGACTCTTTTGGGTTTGGGTTTGTGTGTAGGTCCACTAGCATTCTGGGCAGTCTGTTGTTTGCTCTTCTCTTCTTCCTCTTGCAAGACCCTTCTCTTAAATTCGTCAAATGATGGCATCTCCTCTTCCTTGGGTTTACTTTCTTCCTCTGCCTGGTTTAAATCAGCTGTAATGCTGTCTTTATCTTCCTTTACCAATGCAGCTGGAGTAGGTGGAGTGGGAACTGGTGCCTTACTAATAGGATTCGGAGGGCTTGAAAATGTCAAAAATTGCTTAAGTTAAAAAATTATTTATTTTACAATATAGCATGGCTAGTTTTGTAGATAAGTTACCAAAAGAAAACATCCCACACAATGAATGGGTACTTTAACTTTACTTTTGTAGGTTCYTTAAGAATGGGGGGGTGGGGGGTGGGGATAGGGGCTAAGAAGCTATTTTGTTTGAGTTTGTTTTTGTGTTGGACACTGAAAGGGTAGAGCAAGGTGTCAATATTAGTTGTCTATTTTGTAAAGATAAATGTAAGCACAATGACCTCACTTTCAAGGTTCCTCTAACACTTTAAAGGTGTCCAGTTTCTAACAGAACAACAAAAACTAAAACACAATGCTGCACTGAAAAAATAGGAATACTAATGGTTTTTGAAAAATGTTTTTAAAAGTTAACAAATGCAACAGGAGCTACATGTAGAATGTAATATACTGGAGTCATTAAAGCCTAAGAAAGGTCTAAAATGTTTTCCAGGAGAGCTTTTAAAAGTCCGGGTCAATAGAGACAAATGAATAGTTTTATTTTCTTTAAGAATTGTTTCTGCAAGTGATTTGAAACTGGTCATACACAGTTCACTTTTGTGCATATATTTGATTGTTGGTAAGACATTAGATCTAAATGTACACATGTACAGGAATTGCTCTCTAGGGCTAAAATTCAGTGTCTGTTTTCTGTCCTTAATAGGGTCTAGATTAAGGAAGTATTTTTTTTTAAAGAAACTATGTAACACTTTTAATGCAACAAGATGAACCCTCTGTAAAAGAGAGGTGTCTGTATGGTGAGGTTCACTTGAGGGAGGAAAGCAGTTTAAGGAAACAAGGAAAAATTTTTCATGTCTGAATAAAAATAACCCCTAGTCATTAAAATTTTACAGAATAATTTTGTGTATAGTTTCTGGTGAATTCTCCAATCTTGGATGCTCAATGAATTTACTGGCAATCATTGAGAAAACTTAACCTGTTTGGAAAAATTATATTTACTTCAGCCTTATAGCTTAGCAGGAAAAGAAGAAACAAGTTTGTTTTTTATGTGGGGTGCAAAATAAAGATTAAAACCAACTCACGCAGTGTCCAGGACTGATATCAAAGCTTCTGGTCCTTTTGTAGGGACAGGCTCAAAGGGACTTCTTTCCTTCAAACCATTGATGGAGTCTGATGACTGAACCTGACCAGAATTATTGGGAGGAATAAGTATCACAGATGATGCCACCTGACCATTTGTCTGTGGATTAGATGCAAAGCTACTACCAGTGATTAAGGTGGCAGTAGACTCTGTATCAAAGCTAGGAGTGGCAGGAGCCACAGTTGGAGTAACAAGTTCTTCAAGGTGTAATGAGGAAGAAGGCAAAGCTGTTGATAATTTTTGCATTAGCACTGGTGCATCCTTGGATGATTCAGACTGCTTGACATCATCCTGAAAGAAAAGTAATTGAAGATGAATGTAAAGAAAAGCTGTGATATGGTGTACCTCTTCACCCCCAGGTGATATTAACAAAAAACACTGAACTTCTTTCAAATATTTATCTGACAATTGAGAGCTATGTGTAGTTTTGTCAAGAACTAAGCCACTACTTAATAAGTGATACAGTTTAGTAGCTACTGCTACAAATACATCTATACCTAAAGATATGCTGCTGCTTCTTCCTCTGTTAACATGCCATTTGTTCCATTAATTCAATTTCAGTTGCAATAATAAAAGTAAAAAAAAAGAAAATCTATTACGCTTTGAGGATTTATAAGCCAGGTGATATTGTGAAGGAGATACAGTTGTACATGTTAAGCTATTTTAACTTTTAAGCAACTACATTTCGAGACTAAAATTTCTTCAGGGCCAAAAAAACTCTGGAAAATGTAAAAATCTACTGAATTGACACAAATGTGACCAAATTGTTTTATTTGATTTGTCAGAGGAGTCATGTACATGTAATCAGACGAAAATTCATGCTGTTTTGTTAAAATATTTTTATAATTTTTTCCAGGCAAACAAGTGCTAAAAGTATTGACACTAAAACAGGTAACAGGTGCGAGCACATGTCAAAACCACTTATGGTAAAATATTCAAATCAGGTTCAGTTCAAGTGGATGAGAATAAAAATACAGGTTTGAAAAATAAGCAAACACGTAGGAAAGACTCTTTAATTTGGTAAACAAACAAACTTATTTAGGGTAAAAGGCCACAGGATATCAGGAGGTTTTTGTTTTGAAGTTAAGTTTAAAACAAACCTTTTTACAAATATTGGTGCACATATCTCCTTGGTAAATTTTCCTTAAGTTTACATCTGTGCATGTATGCATGTAGTCAACCAAAAGCCTCAAATTTAATTTTAAAGACCAAAATCACCTTTTTTGCAAGGAATAATGATGAATATCCATACATATGTAAATAGACTTTGACATCCTCAAAAAAAATTCTTCCCACTCTTTGATTCCTAGCACTTGTGCTAAAAATGCAGGCCTCCTAGAATATTTAAAAATTAAGGAAAGAGAGAATGAAAACACAGGAGAAGGAGATGTCTTTATATATCAGATTTCCAGATGGCAAAATTTATTAGAGTTTTTAAAGAACGTCTATGATCATACCAACAAGGACAAGTACCGGTAAAAGTTTTGAGTTAAAAAGATTCCTTAAACTTTTGTCATTTATTCTAGGAAGATTCTAGATTAGAGTTCATCAGGTTAAGCCACCCAGCCCAGGTGAATGAATGGTCCGAAGCAAATACAAACAGAAGACTAATTTCTTAGGATTTAAAGGTTACTTTGTTTCAAGTAAAAAAAATTTAAACCAAGAAAAAATTTAAGCTACAACAAACTTTGTAGATACAGTCATCCAATTAATACAACCGTAAGCTGTGTTGAATCAAGCTGATGCAGGTTTCACTTAAAGTTTTCAGTGGGTGGATGATGCTTAAAAAAGATTTAGTGGTTTTGGTTGTCAAGTTCTACAGTCATTCTGATACTGTATTAGGGTTCTTTATAGCCATTGTTTGGTCTCGAGGTGAAAACACCTTCTGTGATAAGGTTAAACAACAGCTATAAGAGGAGACAAGCAGGATATGTATGCATAAGTATACTTTTGGCAACATTTTGTTTCAGTAAATGAAGAAGCCAGAAAAATTCCAGCAGAACATCCTGCAAAAATTTCTGGATGTCTGCTTCCCCAGATTTTCTGGGAAGCATCCTATTTAATAAGTTACGTATATGTGCACGATCCTTCGCAGTAAAGCACTATTTAAGCAATAGTGAAAATCAGACCTGAAAAAAATTCAGGCCTGTACGGGATTCGAACCACTGACCTCTGCGATACTAGTGCAGCGCTCTACCAATTGAGCTAACAAGCCAACTGGGAGCAGGCCATCAAATTAATTCGACATAAACCCGTAGATGATAAATCAAACAACAAACATATGAAATACATATATATGAACTGCGGTTATGAAACGTATATGTGCACGATCCTTCGCAGTAAAGCACTATTTAAGCAATAGTGAAAATCAGACCTGAAAAAAATTCAGGCCTGTACGGGATTCGAACCACTGACCTCTGCGATACTAGTGCAGCGCTCTACCAATTGAGCTAACAAGCCAACTGGGAGCAGGCCATCAAATTAATTCGACATAAACCCGTAGATGATAAATCAAACAACAAACATATGAAATACATATATATGAACTGCGGTTATGAAACGTATATGTGCACGATCCTTCGCAGTAAAGCACTATTTAAGCAATAGTGAAAATCAGACCTGAAAAAAATTCAGGCCTGTACGGGATTCGAACCACTGACCTCTGCGATACTAGTGCAGCGCTCTACCAATTGAGCTAACAAGCCAACTGGGAGCAGGCCATCAAATTAATTCGACATAAACCCGTAGATGATAAATCAAACAACAAACATATGAAATACATATATATGAACTGCGGTTATGAAACGTATATGTGCACGATCCTTCGCAGTAAAGCACTATTTAAGCAATAGTGAAAATCAGACCTGAAAAAAATTCAGGCCTGTACGGGATTCGAACCACTGACCTCTGCGATACTAGTGCAGCGCTCTACCAATTGAGCTAACAAGCCTTCAGGTCTGATTTTCACTATTGCTTAAATAGTGCTTTACTGCGAAGGATCGTGCACATATACGTTTCATAACCGCAGTTCATATATATGTATTTCATATGTTTGTTGTTTGATTTATCATCTACGGGTTTATGTCGAATTAATTTGATGGCCTGCTCCCAGTTGGCTTGTTAGCTCAATTGGTAGAGCGCTGCACTAGTATCGCAGAGGTCAGTGGTTCGAATCCCGTACAGGCCTGAATTTTTTTCAGGTCTGATTTTCACTATTGCTTAAATAGTGCTTTACTGCGAAGGATCGTGCACATATACGTTTCATAACCGCAGTTCATATATATGTATTTCATATGTTTGTTGTTTGATTTATCATCTACGGGTTTATGTCGAATTAATTTGATGGCCTGCTCCCAGTTGGCTTGTTAGCTCAATTGGTAGAGCGCTGCACTAGTATCGCAGAGGTCAGTGGTTCGAATCCCGTACAGGCCTGAATTTTTTTCAGGTCTGATTTTCACTATTGCTTAAATAGTGCTTTACTGCGAAGGATCGTGCACATATACCCTTCATAACCGCAGTACATATATATGTATTTCATATGTTTGTTGTTTAATAAGTTACGTTCTCACACTAAAATTTTCTATTTAACTCGATGTTCGTATTTCGTATGTCATTTGTGACCATTTGCTGTTTACCAATGATTTTGACATGAGAGATCATCCAAATGTTCGAAATTTAAGAATATGAAATTCAAGGGTGTATCAAGACCTCATAGCTTTCTTACACGTAAGTTTCCTAGGTGACTCTTCGTATGTGGCGATCTTACAAAATGGTCTTGCGAAATTAAGTTATAAAGCTTAATATGCAATATCACGTTACGGAACATGTAAGTATGGAGGGCAATATCAAAAATATTTAGAATATGGTGAGGTAGCTGCTCAAAAGAGAATAGTTATCTCTGCTTTACGATCTTCAGAAAGTTTTGGGAATAATGAATGAAAACAAAATACACGTGTAGAAACAGAAGCTTGAATGTCGATTTTCGGGGACTAACTTCGTAGTAAAGACGTTATTTTCCAATAACTTGCTAAACCTCGGCAATAGGTTGCTTTCCTCGTACATCAATTTTGGAGTCATTGAAATAAAACGGAACTCAAAACATTCGATGATCCATCAAATAGAAACTGAATCAAAACACAAACCTACTAGCTACTACCACCTGCCAAAACTAAAATGTGTAACTAGCTTTCTAACTTTTTCTATAAGAAAGATTATCCTCATCCTTTAGAAAATCACCCTCAAAGAACATTCAATAGCACTTTTGAATCTTGTAAATCAATCAACTCAACGCCCTAATATATCAAAAGCTAGAGGTCAACAATCAAATACATTCTTTCGCAGTCGATCCAAGCAACACACAAGGACTTACTGTTTTGGAAAGCTCTTCGTTGGATGAAGGTGATAATTCTAGTTTTCCTTGTTCAGGAATACTTGACACTTTCTCGTTCCCACTCGGGGCTTGAATTCTGCGAAATAAACCAAAGGCAACATACGGTCAAAGTCCCCTTCCTCAAACCGATGTAGTTTACACAAGCTTCAATACTACTCACCGCCTCATAAGACCAAGGAATAAAAGCGAAATAAATAGAGATGGAAAATAATTCATGGCAAAATGGAACGGCGATAGCCTTTGTCAACACATGATCCGTGGAATTTTGCAAAATATTGAAAAATAATTGGAGAACGAAACGAAGCAGGCAATGTGTTTAGTCATCCTACTACAAAATCTGGGACTTGCAACAGAGGCAGACTCCATGATGGTGACGTGTTGTTATGGACCGGTCATACTGGTTAACATCGAATGTCACGCAGAAACCGCTGGACTGTGAAAAACAAAGGCACGGAGTCGGTCGGAGTCATGCAAATGACCGCAGACAAACAAATGGACAGAAAACCTGAAAATTCCTGTTAGAGAATGAGGAAAGAATTGAATATGTTCCTGCATTATTTTGGATCTCACTGCTTTATCAAGTTAAACGTCGAGGTTCAAAGTACTCGCTGTGGTACGCAGTACGTTTAGTTGACAAAATGCGGCGAATTATACGACGAGGAAGAAGCGAAAGAGGAAGAGGGGAATTAGATTAAGTTGGCTTTAGAAATTGAGGAACTTGACTGAAGAACACAAATCACATAAAACTTGATACTTAAAGGGAGAAAGACTGAGAAACAAAAGTGATCGGATCGATCAGAACATCGGCAAGTGAATATTGTTACGTGCACGAATGACCAACAAATGTCCGCTAACAAAGCATATATGAAAATAGACTCCCGAGTACGATATACGGCACGCAACAAAAATGTAACAACAAGCAGTTACCCATTTTAACTATTATTTAATTAGTTTTACATTGTCTAATTTACTTAGGTTAAAGATTAAGTTAAGCAGTTCATAAAGCAGGCTTACAATCCTCCATGCCGTGTAAGTGTTCGTCGTCTTGATCAACTTCCAACTCCAATATCCGCCGACTGATGACCACAGCACTTGGCTTTCTTAATTTATCGCATTCTTTCCTTGTACACAAACTCTTCCGGAGGACTCCATAGTAAACTCTGTATTCTCTATCCTCTTCCTCTCTCGACTATCGTCTTTTTCATCTCTTTCTTCTCTCCGGATATCGCAAGGTCAAAAGGTCATAGCCTTGTCACATCATAGCTTCCACAAGTTCCGTCAGGAAGCCACGAGGGTAAGCCCTCGGGCAAATCTCTTTTGTACTTCTCACAAGCCAGCTTTTATACATTTACTTTAGTTATCTAGAATGTTCTATTACAT